CCGCCTGCAGCTTCTTTTGAGCTGTCGTTCTTGTGGAAGTATACTAAACCCTAAACCCTAAACCCTAAACCCTAGGATCTGAACCTTCCATAGTATTATAAACGCTCTATAACTTTGACCCTTAAACCCAGTCTCAGCAAAGAATTGTTAGAAATGCATGCATTTAGTTCTTTTGTTTAGATCCCTTGAACGAAAACCCTAAACGCTAAACCCTAAACCCTAAACCCTCGGGGGGTGTTAATGGGGCCACTGGTGGGGCCCCCCTGTAGAGCTGAGCGGCTGCTGGGGCTGCGTAAAAAGATAATTAAAAAGACAGAAGAAGATTTGTTTTAATGTTTAAAACGATAAAACTTGAAGAATAACTATTATCCGCTAAAAACCCTAAGCCCTAAACCCTAAACCCTGTCGCTCTTGTCGTCTGTATCTGCAGAAGTCTGAATGTTTGTCGTGATGGAATACAAACACTGAATAAAGAACTGCAGTAAATTTGTTTACCTTTTGTTTATTTATTGAAACACAAACAATAAATCTTTAAACAAATAAATAAATAAATAAATAATAATAATCTTCTTTTTTAAATTGTTTTCTTACTGTTTATTATTTCTGTGAGGGTTTCTTCTGTCTGTCTTATTTTGCCTGCTGCAGAATTCTCCGTGCATGAAGAACGGAGGGGGTTTCTGGGAGTGCATGCGGAATGAAGATTGGCGCGAAGTGACGGTGGAGTGTTTGGCTCTGAAGAAGACGTACGCCCAGTGCAGAAGAAACCTCCTCAACCCTTCTCTTAAAATGAGAGGAAATATGTTGCACAGATAGAAGTAAAGAGCCGTGTGAATATAATAAACAGATTTTTAATTCAATATATTTTCTTCTAGCGAAGAAATTGATTATATTTTCATGTTTCTGTACTCCAGTGCCGGCGGAAACGCGACCCGAAACGCTGCGAGAAATGGGAGGTAAATAACCACTTAAGGAGTCTTCTTGAGTGGAAGAGGGAAAACAAAGGCATTCTCTCTGCATTTCACTGATACAAAACCCGAAAAGAAAATTAATGAGGCGCTAATCGTGCAGCTTTCCACCGTCAGTTGTTCGGGTGTATCTGCACCTCTTGCAGAAACCAGCCTACCACCATTCGCATTTCATGAAAATTTGATGTTCAAATCTATTTTTCTCTGAATATCAATCGTTAACAAAAAGTAATATAATCTCTTATAGTAGTTAACTGTGAATTTTTAATAAAAATTTTTCGCATTTCGGTTTCCCCCGTTTGCGCCTCCGGCGCTTTCCCGGCTTACAAAAAAAGCCAAAGTTGAATTTTTTGCATTTCAATGCAACTTAATTCAACCTTTTTACACTTAATGCAATTTACTTCTGTTGTATTGCATCTTATTGACTTTTTTATATTTATTTATACGGAACTAAATACACCTTTATAACGGCATTTTCCCAATGTATTGAGTGCAGCTCACTTCAACTTTGCTGTATAATTCAATTCAACTTTACCCCATATTTCAACGGCTTTGCTTGATTAAAGTGCAAATCTGTCTGGCTTTGTTGCATATCATTGCCCCGTAGACGAAGCATACAGCCACCCACAACCGCTGGGGCCTCTCTGTGTAGAAACATAAAAAGATACAAATAAAAGACAGCTGCTGCATCTGTACATAAATAGGAGGAGAGGGCGCGAGGCGAATATGGGGTGTACGTACACCGAGGCGTTTCTCCCAGCAACTAAAGAAACTTTGTATTTAATGCTCTCAAAAAATTAAGCTTTATCTCTTTATTCTTGCACCTTTGTCATGCTTATTAGCTGCAAGATGGCTTTGCTGGCTCTGCCCCCCGAGTGGAACTGCACGTCTTCTGCAGCTTTTTCAATATCAGGCTGCAGCATAAAACCTGCATGCTCTCTCTTATCTATCCGCAGCAGCACCGGTGTTTGAGCTGGCGGCCCAAGGGGCCCCTGCGTAACGTAGTGGGGGCCCCGCAGAGCAGCAGAGTCTCCTGCAGCAGCAGCTTCAGGTGATAAAACACCAGCAGGAAGCTGCAGCAGAAAGAAGAAAGAAGCTGCACGCTTGTCGTATAAGGGGGGCAGAGGCAGCAGCACATCAGCAGCACCACGCAGATCAACCCCAGTCTCCTCCAGTAGCTCTCTCACAGCAGCAACACGTGCCCACTCCTGCAGCAGCAGCTGCTGCTGCAGCAAGTGCTCCCGCTGCAACTCTGGCTGCTGCTCCTGCTGCTGCTGCACCCGGTTTTCTATGGCAGCAGCAACAGCCTGCTGCATCTGCTGCAGGTCGATAATGCGTCCGCAAAATTTTATGTTTGTTGCTGCTTCTTCTTTTATCTCACTCCCTGTCTCTCTTTGCTGCTGATCTGCATGCAGCGCTATGCTCTGCTGTCTCTGTTGCTGCTGCTGCTGCTGCTGCTGCTGCTGCTGCTTGCGTCGCTGAGAAGCAACAGGAAAATCTCCCCAGTCTGCATGCCCCCCAGGTAGTTGAAAGTACCCTTTCATCTCTCCTTGGGGTGTACGTACAGCTTGTTTTGTTTTTTCTTTGTCTTTAAACATTAACAATAAGCCTCCACCAACTATCTCACATAAAATAAAACCCCTCAGGTTCCGCATGCGGCCTTTTGCTTCTCCGCGTAGAGCAGCAGCAGCTTCTTCCTGCAGCAAAGCAGCAGGAAGCGGGGACAGGGGGATCGAAGCAGCAGCAGCAGCAGCTGCTGCTGCTGTTGCTGCTGCTCTCTCCTCTGGAGGAGGGTTAAACTGCCCCCAAGTCTCTTGTAAGAACATTGCAAGCGGTAGCAGCAGACAAAATGCTGTTGATAGAGCTATACACCAGCTGCCGTGTTTGTTGCTGCAGCGGTGAATGCTGCGGACCGTGCTGCAGATTCTGCTGCTGCTGCACCTGTTGTTGTTGTTGCTGCTGCTGCTGCTGCAGTTATGCGTCTCTAACAGTGGCTCCCGCATCTGCAACACCTCGTGCTGCTGGCTGCGTGTCAGGGTAAGAAGTTTGCTGCTGCTGCTGCTGCAGCATCTGCGGCTGCTTCTGCTGCGGCTCCCGCCTCTGTCAATAACTTGGCTTCTGCTGCTGCTTCTGCTGCTGCTGCTGCTGCTGCTGTGCTCCAGTTGCTGCTGCTGCTGCTGCTGCTGATGCTGTTGGTGTTGTTGGTGCTGTTGCTGCTGCTGCTGTTCTCCCCTTACAGACTGTGTACGGTGTGCAGCCATTAGATGCGAGACATAGCGAGCATACGAAGTGTCTGATGAGTATTTGAATTAATATTTTAAATAGAAGATAAAAAAGAAATAAGTTGAACAAAAGAAGAAAAAGTTTGAGGTAGAGGCGCTGCATGCGAGTGTAGCAGCACAAGAGCGCAGTTCGTTAGATAATTTTGTGGGTTGTGTTCGTTTATGTCTGTTGTTTATATTAATATTAATATTAATATTATTTAATTCTTTATTTCTTTTTATTATATTATTATGTTTTGCTGCTCTTCTTCACCCGCCCAAGCCTTCCTTTTGAGCTAATTAAGCAGCGCCTATAGCTTGCAATCTTAGGGCTGCTAAATGTCTTGTTCTGCTCTTTGTTAGGGTTTAGGGTTTAGGGTTTAGGGTTTTGTATGGGAGTTTGCTGAAAGACCGAGGAGCTGCAGGCTGCACTGGGCCTCTCCTTAGCGGTGTAGGGGTTGTCAGGGTTTAGGGTTTAGGGTTTAGGGTTTGTGTTGCGTATGGTGTCTGTGGCGGTTTCTGACGGGTGGGTGAGGGTTTAGGGTTTAGGGTTTAGGGTTTAGAGGTCCTAAGGGGCAGCGCCATGCGCCTTTTCGCCCTATCTGCTGCCTCCCCGGAGCCGCAGCAGCTGCAGCAGCTCGTCAGCAGCTGGACACGTTGCGAGCGTCTGTGTGCTGCTGCTGTTGCAGAGCGCATGCAGAAGGATTCAGGTGTTGTAGCAGCAGCAGAGGCAGCAGCAGCTGCTGCAGAAGCAGGAGCAGCAGCACAAGGAGCAGCCGCCCTGCAGCAGCTGCAGCACCAGCAGCAACTTCTCAACGCTGCTCAAGCTAGAGCAGCAGCAGCTGCAACGAAAACAAATCTGCTGCAGAAGCAGTGCGCAGACATATGCCTGCAGCAGCTGGCGCATCTGCTGCCTGAAGCGTAAGCAGCAGCAGCAGCAGCAGCAGCAGCAGCAGCAGCGGCAGCAACGGAACCGCAACAGCAACAATAGCAATAACAACAGCAGCAGAAACAACAGCAGCAGCAGCTTTAGCATCAGCAACAGTAGCAGATCCAGCAGCATCAGCAACACCAACAGCAGCAGCAGCAACAGCAACATCAACAGCAGCAGCGGCAGCAGCATTAGCAGCAGCATCATCATCATCAGCATCAGCAGCATCAACAGCATCAGCATCATCGTCAGCAGCAGCAGTATCTGCATCAGCAGTAGGAGCAGCAGCATTACCAGCAGCAGCAGCATCAGCAGCAGCAGCAGCAGCAGCATTTGAGAATGCCTCGAGGGAGGAAGGGTCGACGCACAATAGCTGTCTGTGTGCCGTCTGCTGCTGCTGCTGCTGGGGGGCAGAGGTGTACTGCAGCAGAAGCAGCAACAGCATTATCTTGGCTTGGTGCTTCAGATGCTGAGAAGCAAGCAGCAGCAACAGCAGCAGCAGCAGCAGCAGCAGCAGCAACAGCAGCGGGCATCCTTCCCCTCGGAGCGCGGGGGGGGCGCCAGGGCCGCTTCTCCCCGCAGTCAAGAAGCAGCAGAAGTGCAGCAGCAGCAGCAGCAGCAGCAGCAGAAGAGGAAGATGCTGCTCCCTCCCCTGCGCGTACTGTTGATGATGAAGAAACATTAGCAGCAGCAACGAGAGCTGCTGCTGCTGCAAGTGAAGCAGCAGCAGCAGCAGCAGCAGCAGCAAACAGTGCAGCAGCAGCAGCAGCAGCAGGGCCGGGCGGATCGCCCCAAAGCCGCAGCAGCAGACAACTACGGCGCGAGTATGTTGCTGCTGCTGCT